TTATACTAAGTGAAGTAACACAGACTCAGAAAAACAAATGATGTGTGTTCTCCCTCATATGTGGCTCCTAGCACCAAATCCTTTTAAATTACAGGTCCTTTTAATAACTACCATCATCATGACTTCGGCTGAGCCTGATCGCTAAACAGTCACAATTGGGCTTATTGATGGTTGTGCTCATTCATTAAAGGAGTGCCAAGTAGGGTCACTGGACCCTCACCTGAATACCCAGCTACTCTCCCCAGCCAACTAGTCCAGCCTTGGAAGACAAAAGAAAAATTAGGAAGAACTCAATAGAGGGATGCTTTTGGAAGCCCTTATCAAGAAATTCCAATGGACTTTCACATGAACATCTGAAAATTGCCTTGTTCTGACTTTTTTCTAGTTCCCTTTCTAGAACATATAATAATGCTAATTACTCTTGCCTTCCCTTTTCCTTTAGAGCTCCTATTCATGATTCAAGGACTTTCCTTTCCCCTTAGAGATAAGAGTTATGAAATCTGGGACTCTTTTAGATAGACCCAGTGAAGGGGTATTCCAATTGCCTTACCCTGCGTCCCTGTTCAGCATGGAGAAGCCAAAGCAGTCTGTGTCCCGATTCCCTACTGGCAATTTGGGTAACCTCTTCAGAGGATGGTGTGATAAGAATAGGAGGTAGGAATTGGCCAGGCAGTTAGGGTAAAAAGACCCCAAAGAAAATTAGCCAGTTTCTTGGCTAAAAGTCAAAATGTCCTTGCGCCTCTTAGCAACATTCTCTGTTCCAAAGGCCAAAAATGTCAAAAGTATTTGGGAGCTTGTAAGTAATCCTTAAAAGATTTTAGGGTTACCACTTCAGAGGGGGGAATGTTAAGAGTAGCCAAAAGCCCCATAAAAATAAATAAATCAAAGAAGAAGTACATGAAGTTATCAGAAAAGTGATGGGGAGATATGGGAGGAGTTAGATGGGAGGGAGTGGGCATGGATTTGATGAAAACACCTTAAATGCATGTATGAAATTCTCAATAAATTATTTTTAAAAAAAGAATGCATTTTTATTGCTCATATCTATAAAAGAATGTTACATTTTATGGAATGAAGAATAGAAAGAGAATGTAGTTCATGTGGTAGAGCGTTTGCCTGGCATGCATGAAGCTCTGGATTCAATCCCCAGGACCACACAAACCCAAAATGAGAGTGCATTATTAATAAGCCAGCACTTGGGAGGGAGAGGCAGGAAGACCTGAAGTTCAAATTCATCCTTGGCTACACAGTGAGTCAGAAGCCAGTCTGGGCTACATAAGATCTTTTCTCAAAAAATAAAAAGAAAACGTTCTAAAATTTATAATAAAAATGTAACGCTTCCTGATTGCAGCAACTCCTGTTGCTTTCCTTCATTGTATTTCCTCCCACAAGTAACAGCCAGTATCTGCTTTGTTCCACTCTTTGCTGATTCAATCACTAACATAGCCTATCTTATGGCCCTCTAAGTCATCTTCAACCACAAAATACAAACAAAACAATGCTAATGTTCTGTTAAGTAGCATTATTATCCTATCTAATTCTCTCATCAATCTTAGGAATTATTCCTATCTTGCAGCAGAATAAAAGACAGAAGTAATCTTGCTGAAATTCACAAGCCTGCTTGCCTTGGAGGACACGCTGCACACAGCACAGGAAGCAAACAGCAGAAGTCTTCCTAGTGTTAGTGTAGGTGGGTAAAACTCGGGAAGGGCAGAGTGGCTGGAAAGCAGAAGAAGGAACTCTAGAAGTAACAGAACCACAGAAAGAATGAGCACCTGAATCTGAGAGCTCTGCCCAAATGCTTGTGAGACCACCAGAGCTGGACCGTTACGGAACTCCTGTGAGACAGACTTTTTGAAAAAGCAGCAAAGTTGAAAAACTAGAAGCTAAAAAAGCTGGATCTTTCCTGTGGCATATCACATGGAAGATGAGTTTAGAGTTGGAGTCTAGACAAGCTAATTGGCTACCACTATAAGAAAAGCCACGTGTATCAAAGAATAAAGCAGTTTCTAAGAAAAATAAGACATTCCAAAGTTACTAGTACATATTATCCACACATACATTTTAAATTTTTAAAAAATCACTAAGACAAAAATTAGGAAAGTATGATTCTAGTGGTTCAAGGAGGTAGTCAGCAGGAACTGACACCAAGTGGGTCTCAGTTTTCTCATTTGACAAAGACTTTAAATATGATAGTTACAGATATTTATATTAATATATTACAGCCATTATAAATATGCACAAATAATTAAAGAAATAAATAGGAAATCTCAATAGAGAAATGTAAACTGAAGAAACCAAATGAAATCTAGATCGAAAGGTACAATAACCAAAACTTGTTAGCCTGGTTCAACAGCAGAGCTGACATGGTAGACTACATTAGAGATGGACAGGAAGCTAGAGCAATAGATATGGTCCAATAAAAACACAAAGAACAAAGGCTTGGGGCAAGGAAGAGAACCATAAATTATGTGACCACAAAGACAAGGATAATATCAAGCAGTCCAAGAATTACACAAAATGTAAATGTACTGAGCTCTAAAAGACAGAGATTGCAAGACTGAAATGAAAAAGCAAGCCTCTTCCAAATGCTTTCCAATTTTAATGACAAGACTAATTAAAAGTAAAGGGCTGGGGAGGGGGAGTACTTTGCTGGCGTGGCTATATTAAAATCAGACAAAACAGATTTAGAGACGAATACTAATAGTCAAAGATCATTATAATGAATGATAAACTAGGCAGGAAAATTAACAATCAGAGCCCCTAAGTCTATGAAGCAAAAACTGACAGACCAGAAAGAAAAAAAGACAAGGTAGTGACCATAGTTGGAAACTTTAATGCTTTTCTCAGTAAAAGAACAAGTAGAAAGAAAAATCAGGAAGAATATAGTAGGCTTGAATCCTATTATCTGACCTATTATTTACAGAATATTCCATCCAAGAACGGAATGTATGTTCTTTTAAGGCATACATGGAACATTCATCAAAATAGATCACATGCAGTGAATAAAACAAGTATAAATAAATTTAAGACAGAAATAAAAGTTGTGTTCTCTGAAACCAAAGACCTATGCATTTTCATTGCGTCTGAAAGTAGTGATAAGAAGTTATATTTAATGATAAATCCACATACCCTCCCTGTAGGGTATGTACGCACAGAGACCCAAGAGACAACAAGGCAAGGGTTTTAACAAAGAAAATCATCTCTGGTACTTCAGGAGATGGGATACAATTTTAGCTCTTCTACATTCATGTGCCGGAGCCGAGAGCATCGCTGAAGCCAGAGACTTCAAGTTACTTGTGCTTCTGAAATACACAATCTAGAGCTCAAGATTTTTTTATTATTATTAAAATTTATGTGTATGTGTGTGTCTCTAAGTGCATAGGCAGCAGGTGCCCATAAAGCCCAGAAGAGGACATCAGATCCCTGGGGCTGGAGTTACAGGTAGTTGTGAGTTGCCCAAGGGAGTGCTGGGAACTGAAATCTGATCCTCTGGAAGAGCAGCAAGAGCTCCTAACCATGGAGCCATCTCTCCAGCCCAACTTCTGGTTTCTTATCAGACTGTTGTATTTTACACTCTGACTTCTACATATCTACAATATGACTTCTAGAAGTAGGAAAAATTCTGGTTCTAGAATCAAATGGGTGTGTAAGACATTAAGGTACAAAGAATAGAAAATGCAGCAGTTTACCTGAACTTGCCTATCTCTATCTACAAAAAACACTGATGCCTCCAAGGCCTTTGAATCCATAGATTAATAAGAAGCAGATAAATATGCATGCATGTGCACAGAGGGGCATTTGTTGTGGTAAAATATCCAGAAAAAAAGTTTGGACATGCCATGATGAAAAGATAACATCTTAAGCAAGAACTGACAAACTGCTCCCAAAGTGGTCCTGCGGCCCATAAATGAGGTCTTTTTGCACATGGTCATGTTTCTTTATTCATATTATCTACACGGAGTTGATACTATAAAAGAGAGCTGAAAGTTGTATTAAAGACAATATGGACAGCAAAGCCTAAAATAGGACTCTTTTCTTTTTTTTTTGGTCTTTTTGAGACAGGGTCTCCCTGTAGCCACAGCTGGCCTGAATTTGCTATGGAGACCAGGCCTGCCTCTGCCTCCAGAGTGCTGGGATTAAAGGCATGTGCCACCATGCCTGGCTTACTCTTTGTCCCTGTACAGAAAAAGCTTGGCAACCTATGATCTAGAGCAGAAACAGATTGCTCAAATACATACTAGAAAATACTGATAATCATTTCTACCATTTATTTAAAAATTACTAAAATAAGGCCAGGCATGGTGGCGCATACCTTTAATCCCAGCACTTGGGAGGCAGAGGCAGGTGGATCTTGGTGAGTTCCAGGCCAGCCTGATCTACATAGTAAGTTCCAGGCCAGCTGGGACTACAGGAAGACCCTGTCTCAAAAAGACCTACCCCCCAAAAACAACTACTAAAATAAAAACAAAAACCCATAGCTGCTATATTAAAATGTTTATGTTTAACATATTTTATTTCTTCATATTTATTTATTTTTTTGGTCTTTTTGAGACAGGGTCTCCCTGTAGCCCCATTTTATGTATTATGAGTGCATTGCCTCTATGTGTGTAAGTGCACCCCCTGTCATCCAGTCCCTGCAGAGATCAGAAGAGGGTAACAGATCCCTTGGAACTGGAGCTACAGACAGTTGTTAGCCACCATGTGGATGCTGAGAATTGAAACCGGGTCCTCTGCAAAAGCAGCCAGTACTCTTCTGAGTCATCTCTCCAGTCCCATAAATGTTTATGTTTAAAACAAATTAAGGTATGATTTGAAAAGGCCCACACTTGAGGAAATGCCACTTCTCACCTGGTATTTTGGTGCATTGTTGCACTGTGGAAAGCTGCCGTTGACTTCCCCATTATGTAGTAGATTATTGTCCACCAGATTCCAGCCCCAGCTCTGGTCATCACTTCCCAGCAAGGCCACATAACCTTGGCACTGCATGGGGGCCCGTTTAGTGGCAATTCCTATCACTGCCACAGTACCTAGAGGGCCCTCCCACCATACTTCCCACGCATGGCGGCCCTCACTGAAACCAATCTTGGTCCTTGCACCATCAGTGCTCTGAGCAATGGGGTTCCGATGTAATGTAAAGCCATTCTTCTTAATATAGACATTCCTGGAGCAGTCATTAGTGCTGAAGGCATGTTGGAAAGCACGTACCTAAAAAGCATGAGAAACAACAGACCAAAAGAAATCAAATGTTATTTTTCTTAAATTTTAAAAAGTACTACCCCCCCTAAAACAAATAAACAAAAATTATTAATCCAGATGTGGCTGCTCACACCTGTAATCTCAGCCCTCCAGGTGGCTGGAGCAGAAGGATTGAGACATAGCAAAATTCTGTTTCTCTTACCTGCCTCCAAAAAGATATTTTTATATGTTTACAAATATTATGTATTTTAAGAATATTTAAGTGTGTGTGTGTGTGTGTGTGTGTGTGTGTGTGTGTGTGTGTATTGCCTGCATGCATGTTAAGTGCACCCATGTGCAATGCCCACAGAGGTTAGAAGAGGGTGTTAGATCCCCTGGAACTGTAGTTACTGACAGTTGTTTCCTACCATGTAGGTTCTAGGAATCGAACCCAGGTCTTCTGCAAGAGCAGCCAGTGCCCTTAGCTGCTGAGCCATCTCTCCAGTCCCACTATGTATTTTAAAATAAGTGTTTCCAAATAAAGCTTAAAGTTTCTAGATGGGAAATTTAGAAACATTAAATATTCTATCACATTAAAAATAACTACCAGGACTGGAGAGATGGCTCAGCGGTTAAGAACACTGGCTGTTCTTGCAGAAGACCCGGGTTTGAATCCCAGTACCTACATGGCAGCTAACAAATGTCCGTAACTCCAGTTCCTGGGGATCCGATAGCCTCTTCTGTCCTCTGTGGGCATTGCACTACACGGGTGCACTTACCTACATGCAGGCGCAATACATGCATACACATAAAATAAAAATAATAGTTTTAAAAATAACTACCAATAGCCAGGCGTGGTGGCACATGCCTTTAATGCCAGCACTCGGGAGGCAGAGGCAGGCGATCTCTGTGAGTTCAAGGCCAGCCTGGTCTACATAGTGAGTTCCAGGACAGCTAGGGCAACAGAGAGACCCTGTCTCAAAAAGACAATAAAAAAACCCAAAAAATAAAACTACCAACTGGCTGGATACAGTAGTCTAGGTGGTGCATGCCATTAATCCCAGCACTCAGGAGGCAGAAGCAGGCAGACTAGTTCAAGGTCAGACTGGTCATTTATAATGAGTTCCAGTCCAGACAGAGGTATATACTGAAACTCTCTGAAAACAAAAACCAAACTGAAAAACTACCAACTAGACCTAGGCACAGAACACATGCCTGCAGTCCTAGCCACTTCAAAGGCTGAGGTGGGAGGATCTCTTGAACCAGAAGTTTAAGATGAGCAAGGAAAACACACAAAAGGCTGTTGAGGGACTGGAGAGATGGCTCAGAGGTTAAGAGTACTGGCTGTTCTTCTAGAGGACCTGGGCTCCATTCCCAACACCCACATCGCGGGTCTATAACGCCACAATGGTCTATAACTCCAGTTTCAGGGAATCCAACACCATCTACTGGCCACTTTGGGGACTGCATGGCACAGGTGCACTAACATAGATGCAGGCAAATCATTCATACACAAAAATAAAAAGTAAATAATTTTTTTTTTAAAAGATTGTCAAGGGGTGGAAGAGATGGCTCAGCAGTTAAGAACACTGGCTGTTCTTGCAGAAGACCTGGATTCAAATACCAGTACCCACATGGCAGCTAACAACTATCCATAATTCTAATTCCAAAGGATCCAACACCCTCTTCTGACCTCCACAGGCACTGCACGACACAGGTGTACTTATGTATGCAGGCTTTACATGTATGCACATAAAAAAATAAAAATAATAAATAAAATATATATTTTTTTAAAAAGACTGTCAAAAGGGGTGGGGGCAATGCAAATGTCCTAGCACTGACCAAATCTCAAACTGTAGCATAATTTCTACAAGCACATTTCTCAGAACATCAAAATGTATACATAACTTTCCTTGTATTTTAGCTATTACTGAAATACTTATGCATGAAATGATATATAGTAATTGCTCTGAAATAGTCAGAGGCAGAGTGGGATAAACATGAAACTAGATTTGTCATGAGTCATGGTAATCCCTGGTAGTAGGTTTAAGAAAATCAAACTATTTTCTTCACTTTTACTTATATCTGGTTGAGAAGCAGCTTCTATCACAGCAGCTTGGGAGACAAAGGCAGAAGGATCAGAAGTCCAAGGTCATCTTTAGCTACATATCAATTTTGAGGCTAGCCTGAGCTATATGAGATCTGTTTCAAAAACACAAAATAATTATATTTTGAGCACTGAGGGTACAGATCATTAGAATACTTGTCAAGAATATCAAAGTATTGGGTTCTATCCCTAGCACAGCAAACACACACAGACACACAGACACACACACACACACACACACATACATGCATATTAAATAAAATAAAGACCTCAATCATAGCAGCCCTAAAGTTTATGAAAGATTTTAGTGACCACAAACTACCTTAGGTCCTTAGTTTATTTGCTAGGTATTACTCATACACTGAGACACCACTACACTTACTGTTTCAAGTCATATAATTCCCTAGAGCACACATAAATGCAACCAGGAAGGGTATATAAGGAGCAGCTACCAATTGGATAGGTTAGCTGACCCTTCATTAAGTAATGAGAAATGGCTCAGTGGTTAAGAGCATTTGCTGTTCCTGCAGAAGACCTGAGTTCAGTTCCCCACACCCACATGGTAGCTCACAACTGCCTGTAATACCAGTTCCAGGGGTTCCAATGCCCTTTTCTGACATCTGCTGGCTCCTGAAGCTATGTGGTACACATACATACATTCATGTACATGTACACATAAAATAAAAATATTAAAACTCCTAATATGGGGGCTGGAGAGATGGCTCAGTGGTTAAAAGCACTGGCTGCTCTTATAGAGAACCCAGGTTCGAATCTCAGCACCCACATGGCAGCTAACAACCGTCCATAACTCCAGTTCCAGGGGAATCCGAGACCCTCTTCTTACCTCTGCAGGCACTATACTCAAATGTATACAGGAAATACACTTATATACATAAAAATAATAAGCTAAAAAAAAAAAAAAACTTCCTGGGGCTAGAGAGATAACTCAGTGGTTAAAAGCACTGGCTACTCTTGCAGAGGGCCTGGGTTCAATTCCCAGCACCCACATGGTGGCTAACAACCATCTGTAACTCCAGTTCCAGGGGATCCAACACCCTCTTCTGGTCTCCGTGGGCATTGCCTGACATAGATGAACTTACATACATGAAGGCAATACAACTAATACACATAAAATACAAATAATAATTTAAAAAAAAAAACTCCTAACATAAAGATCATATAAAAATAGCTCCTTGCCAGGCATGGTAATGTATGCCTTTAAATCCCAGAACTCTTGAGGCAGAGGCAAATGGATCTCTGTGAGTTCAAGTCCAGTCTGGTCTAAGTAGTCAGTTCCAGGCCAGCTGGGGCTAGAGAGACCTTGTCTAAAAAGCACGCCCCCTGCCCAAATGCAGTCAATCAAAGCCAGGCATGGTAGTGCATGCCTTTAGTCCCAGCACTTGGGAGGCAGAGGCAGGTGGATCTCTGTGAGTTCAAGGTCAGCCTGGTCTACAAAGCGAGTTCCAGGTCAGCCAGGCCTACAGGGAGATCCTGTCTCAAAAATATCAAACAAACAAACCAAAAAGCCCAAAAAACATGCATTCAAAACATGCATTCAATATTAGTAGATATATTTTTGTGATTGTTTAGTGAGTCTTCTTTTTCTTAGTAATGGTCTCTGAGCATAAGAGAAGGAGAGCCAGGTGTGGTGGCACAAGCCTTTAATCCCAGCACTCAGGAGGCAGAGTCAGGTGGACCTCTGTGAGTTCAAGGCCAGTCTGGTCTACATAGTGAGTTCCAGGACAGCTGGGGCTACAGGGAAACCCTGTCTCAAAAAGACCAAAAAAAAATTAAATTAAATTAAAATTTTAAAAACCTCCTAACATAAAGACCATATAAAAATAGCTCCTTGCCAGGCATGGTGATATATGCCTTTAATCCCAGCACTCTGGAGGCAGAGGCAGGTGGATCTCTGTGAATTCAAGGCCAGCCTGGTCTACATAGTGAGTTTCAGGCCAGCTTGGGCAACAGGGAGACCCTGTCTCAAAAAGGAAAAAAAAAACAAAAAAACAAAATAGCTTCTCTGCAAACATGACAAATTTTAATGTTTTAACAATATGAAACTTATGGCTTCTACTTTAATTTAAAACTCCCTTCTTCAGCAGGGAGTGGTGGCACACATCTTTAATTCCAGCACTTGGGAGGCAGAGGGAGGTAGATCTTTGTGAGATTGAAGCCAGCCTGGTTTCTGTATTGAGTTCTAGGCAGGCTGGAGCTACTACAGAGACCATGTCTCAGAAAAAAAAAAAAAAAAAAAAAAAAAGTCTTCTTGGGGGTTGGAGAGATGGCTCATTGGTTAATTATATGATTTGGAAAAAAACACTTGCTGTTCTTGCAGGAGACCCAGTTCAGTTCCCAGCACCCACACAGTTGCTCACAACTATCTGTAACTCCAGTTCCAGGGGATCCCACACCCTCTTCTGGCCTCTGCAAGCAACAGGTACACCTACATATAGGCAGTCAAGCATTCATACACATAAAACTTAAAAAATTATTTTTTGTGCCGGGTGTGGTGGTGCATGCCTTTGATCCCAGCACTCAGGAGGCAGAGGCAGGCTCTTTGAGTTCGAGGCCAGCCTGGTTTACACTGAGTTCCAGGTAAGCTGGGGTTACAGGGGAAACCCTGTCTCAAAAAGACCAAAAAAACAAATTATTTCTTTATTCAAACCTTAACCCTGAATTCTTCTAAAGGCAAAAGGTCTATTACTTTAATTAATCTGAAAAATCAATTCCAGCATCCCAGTCAACAATAGGAAGGATCCTAAAGGTTATCTAGTCCAACTCAGGGGTGCAGCTATAGACTTAAAGGTTAGCAGCTAGTTAGAGCAGGAGCTGCAGGGAGAGCCAGGGATCCAGCCAGGCCATGTGCTCCTCCACCGGTAGGCACCATTTCACTGTTGCACTGCAGAGCACAGAGCCAATT